CTCCTTCTCTGGCCGCAATAGAACAATACGACCCGTAGTGTGATAACCTCAATTCCTATCCCAAGGTCACTTTCATTTGAACTTCGTCAATCATCAGGGTGGGTGGTCATCCAGCAAAACACATCCAACTTTTCCGATAAAATAGTTTCGCTATTATCGCCAGATTCTAACACAACCCAGACCTTGTCTAACGATATCTTTCCCTCGACAAAGACTTAACCTATTTTCTTTGTTTTCTTTTTTTCAGCTCGTGTGTGGTCAGGGCATTCCCGTGACAGTTAAATGTTTATCTATTCTGTCCCGGAGTTTAGCTAGCCGATCTGGAATTTGTCAATTAGATTTTCGCCAGCACCAAGTGGCTGTTATCTATTCCCGATAATATGAGTCCGCCACCACGACACAGTTAATTTTTATCTATTTAGAATTCTCGACAATGAAACCTTTCACCATTTTTCACGATCAAAATTTCATTTCTTTCCCTTCTTTTCTTCCTTTTCCTTGCTTCCCTAAATGGTGTCACAGGAGGACGAATATTTTCTATGAAAATTTCTCGGACATTCAGGCCGGTAAATGTTGTTAATACTGTTTATTATAAGCAGAGCATGTACTTAAATATTTGTATCTATAAAAAAAATGTATAAACATAAAAAATGTCTTAAAATAATTCGGACCAATGTCTTTATTTTGGTTACTATTATCACAAGATTTGGGCTTTTATCCCCTGTTATATTGTAAGTTTAACCTTCGCGGGATTTCGAATTGAAAACTTTATTTGATTTACGAGCTCTGCGATGTCTCTTTTTTATTTTAGTGCTGCGAAGTTAATTATCTCTCAGTTTCGAGTGTAAGCTTGTACTGACTGACTGCGAGAAGGAACTCAGAATTACTCTGCCACAAAATTCAGGGAACATCGATTTAATTCACTAGACGATGTTGGATCTACTCCACCTGACAACAGCCAATTAGATTCAAACTTTGTATCATAAATTTGTTGGAATAAAATCTGTGAATTCCATCACTTCCACTGATAGTTCAAGATGAGACAAAATGACCAGACTGTAACTTAGGACGAAAAAAAAGAACTAGTTATCTCTGGATATGAGAAGCGGAACGAGAATGATCTACACCTGTAGATAAATAAAGGGTTCAGTTTGAAATATCGTCAAGGTTACACAAATCGACAGACACCTGATGAAGATCAGTGCTTACAGCGGCATAAACCTTGTAAAAATATGTTGAAGATATTAGTCCAATTTTTCTATATGCTTAATTACATTATTTAGATTATTCGGACTGTTATCTTCACCTTTATTTCCAATGAACAATTAACCCCGGTAGACGAAATAAAGTGTTCGGTTCTAAATTCCAATCAGCTGAAGAAGGCCGGAGTGTACAACGGCCGAAATCTATCCACACACACACACATAAATATATATGTGTGTGTGTGTGTGTGTGTGTGTGTGTGTGTGTGTGTGTGTGTAGAGCACCTGGAGTTGTTGTAATTGTTAGCAAGCTGGTCTCGCTAGAATAATTACGACTTAGTGAGTTCGATCCTCACTGGGTGCCCTTTAATTTAGGCCTTATGCCGCATCTGAGCTACGCTTGGAATATATATATATATATATATATATATATATATATATATATATATATATTCTGTGTATTTAGCAGCAGGTGCCCTTTAAGGAAAATGCTATTGATAACGACAGCCAGTTTGTGTCGATAAATTTTAATGATCATCTTTGCCAAGTTACGAATAATCCTTCTCCGATAGAAAGAAGGAAATTCCGTCAGAAATTCACCGAAGTTCATATCTGAATATAAATATACGGAATATGCTCTATGGGAAGAACAGAAAACTACACTTTGATTCAGCTAATGGCAGATACTGGCCCAGTCGATAAATGCGTTGATTGAATTAATCTATTGACTTGGTCGCAAGTGTTGTGAGTTCAATGCTACGGCCCCAGCAGAGGTGAATCATAAAAACTTGGAGAGCTGAGTAATTTCAGGGAAATAACTGAAACTGAGATATCCAGAAAATGCATGGCACGTCGAACTATAACAATCTACTCCGGTGGACGAAAGAAAGGATTTTTTCGAAATTCCGCCGTATATCACCTGCAGATAGCCGGAGCGTAGAACTGTCCAAACCCTCGTGAATATAACAAAGATAAAGACAACAGTCCAAACAAGGCAACTAGCTTAAATATCAGTCCAAATTTAAAAAATTAACTATTTTTACTAACACTGTTTAAAATCAGTTTGTGCCGTATCAAACCGTCTTTAGAAAAGAGTATAATTTCATCTTTCTACAAAATGTCACTTAAGCTTCATTTTATCATTCCAAAAGCAAAATTAAAAAAATCTGCAAAAATCGATCAATCAAATTTTCGTACCAACTACGCTGCACTGACCAAGCGGTGCCAAACTCTTAATGGCACCTGATTGAATCTTTAAATATAGATTAACATCGATCAGCTAAGTGTCTATGGCGATAGCTGAAAGTGGTAGCACAATTCTTCTTAGATGTAAATTGATCTTTACAGCCAATTTAGAAATGTCAATTTTCAACTGAAATTTCTAGACTAGAACAATCGGCACAACAGAAAAAATCCTTGGAACTCGTCTTGGTACTCAGTATAATTTTTCTTAACGATTTTTTTCTGAAACGTTTACTTGGTTAAAGTTCTAAGTAACTCGTTGCATTGATGTGTTACTAATTTTCGTACATATTGAGGCGGATAGAATGTAGAAAATAGTCAAGAACTATTATATTTATTTAAAATTGTGAAAGATGTTTTAATTACAAACATCGTAAGGTGTAATAATGGACAAAATTAAAATAAATTTTAAATATCTGTCTATATTTCTGAGATAAGGTATTGTATTTATTTACAAATTTGTTCTCATCTTTATTGCCATATTGAAGACGTTTCAGCCGTTGTACGCTCCAGCCTTCTTCAGAATCTGCGTATTTTTCTGAGATCAGGTATTCTAGCTATTTGTACTATTTGCATTGTTCGGACTGCTGTTCTCATATTTATTGCCATATTCGCAATGTTTCAGTCGTTGTATGTCCCTACATTCTTCAGGATCTGTCAGTATTTTTGAGATTATTTCCATTGTATCCAGTTTGAACTTTTTGCGTGAATTAACTTTTAGATCAATCTACACGTGCAGACTAAATAAATGCTTCGGTTCGAAATTCCTAGAAATATCACCTGAAGAGAAACGGAACGTACAGCGTCGTGAACATGGCAATAATTATGAGGGCAACTGTCCGAGCAGTGTAAATAATGTAAAACTTTAAATATCTGAAATCTGATAAAATCACGCGATCTTAAATTATTCTCACAACTAAAAAAAAAACTTTTTTTTTTTTGCATATGGCCTCATCGAAGAAAAAGCTGTAGAATTGATATAAATGTTTTCTTTTTATATAGTGTTTAATACTTTCACATTTTTGATGGTCTATTTTATTTCTTCACCCAGCAAAAATTTTTGAATAGAAATATTTTTAAATTCCTGCTCTTTTTGTAAGTAATATTTTCATGTTAACACAGAGATTTAGAAAAATATTCATTATGAGATTAAACACAAATTCTAATTTTATTTCTCTATCTTTTATGCCGTTCCTTCCGCATAGGGGAAGTAACTGTTTCATAATCTTAGTATTTTTCATTAACTACTGCAAAAGGTTATAATTACATTAGTCTTATAGCCTGATCTCGATTGCTACAAGAGATCAGTCAGTCAGTTATGTGCCATGCCCGATACACGCTTAGGCGATCATGTATCATTTAACACATGACTAATGAGGCAGATGTTTATTTTTTTTTTCTCGCAGGAGCTTGTCATTTCTTTCTGCGCTAGACCAGTTGCTATCCAAGGATATAGAATCCGGTTTGTCCTGCTTGATGTGTGTGGGGGGGGGAGAAAAAGAGGATTCATACCTTTCTCAAGGGTATTAACACGTAAGTGAATGTAAGGGATTCGACTCGTATACAAGAGACAAAAATTATTAGTAAATCAGGTAGAAGATAGAAGAATTCTAAATCCATTGGATACAGTCATCTACTTCCGTACCTCTGCTGTGCAAAATGATGTGAGTGCATCACGAGTTTTCAGCTTTAATTACAGACAAGCCAATGATTAATTACTAAACCAAAGTGTAATTAAATGATTCTCAGGGGGAGGGGGAGAATCAACCAGGCATTCTGGACTGGTTCGTTTATTCAATAATCAGTAATCTAAGCAGATGAAGAAACAGTTGCACATCATTCTGCGTTTATCTTATGTACGTAATATCTCAAAAGTTGAAAAAGAATTGTCCGAATTCATGTGTAAATTAGTCGATTAATTGATCTAAATCTTGTCACTAATCGTGTGAAATGTGTTTTGCTTTCTCTAGTGAGGTTTTTTGATGAAAAATTGAACTTTTTTATTCATCGATTTATTTATTTAATTTTGTGGGATAGATTGATTTGGTTTATTTTGTTTTACGGCATATCAACCTCAATGGTTTATTTAATGCCGACAAGATTTTTACAACAGATTCATTGGAATAGAATATATATTATCTGCAAAGAAACAGTTGATAGATCAGTTTTCATTGACGTATTTTTCTAAAAAAAGGTTTTTAGGCTGACAGTCAATGTCGGTATTTTTTTCAAAAAATATATTGCTGGTAATATTTTGAAAAAAATGTATTGTTGGTATTTTTACTATAAAAATCAATTTTTATACATTCATAGTATTT